TTGATTATTGTTAAGAGGACAACAATATCCTAGCCAAACTATAGAATGGCATGAAAAGGGGGGAAAGGGAAGGACTTTTAAGGGCAAAAAAAAAAAACACAAGAAGAACATTGGTATCTGCACAAGCTAGCCAGAAGCTCTTTTGCTCTTCCAAAACTAAGTAGTCAAAGCAACCTCAAAATGGTCCTTGACTGTCTATATAAGAAGGAAACAAAAGCCAAAAAGAATGTAGTAATATCATAAGAAGGATATATTTACTGTGCATTTCTGGGGGGGGGGACACTGAGTCACGCTTACTAGGAAATTATCTTGCATGAACTTGAGTCAGAGACAAACAACTAGAAGTCACCAAAATAAATGCCTAGAAAAATGGAGTATTTTCTATAGTCATTGCAAAGAAATGCAGTTTTAAGGAGAGGGATGTATATAAAAATGGTGTGGGGGGGGCTGGAGAGATGGCTCAGAGGTTAAGAGCACTGGCTGCTCTTCCAAATGTCCCGAGTTCAATTCCCAGCAACCACATGATGGCTCACAATCATCTCTAGTGCGAACTGATGCCCTCTTCTGGCATAAAATCATAGGGCACTCATAAAATAAATTTTAAAAAAAGAAATAAAATAAAATAAAATAAAAATGGTGTGGGGAGAGCACAAGCAAAATGCAATATGTACAAGTAGATGATTATGAGATATTGACAAAGAACTAAGTTATTTAAAAAAAAAAACCATACGACACAACTGCAAAGGATCTAAGTCATACAATCAAGGCCAGCATGTCATTCCCTCTCATGATGGCATTGACAACACTATGTAGCCAAAGGAGGCCTGCAATGAGTGTTTCCGCTGACTGCATCTTCTACTTAACAGGGACTACCTGTGTTCTTATTTTGTAATTTCTTCCTGTACCATTCCCGTCCTTATTCCTAATGTGGAATATGTTTCTGTTCTCTTTCTGTAGTCTCAATATGACAATGAGGTCATGGATGTAGAAGGTATTTTATGTATTTATTAATGCTTTGGACCAGGAAGCCATAACAACACAAGACTGTCTAGGAGGCCCTGATGAAAGGAGAAAGGGAAATTTAGTCCAGTGTCCTCATCCAAGATCAGACATGAAGCCAGTCTGATGCTGGGGCCATTGCCTCCTAGTAGATGAAGTTGCAGGTCTGTGGATAGGACTCTGCCTTCTGGGCTTGGTTCTTATCCTAGTGGATCTGTCTGATGTTCCCCATGCTTTCTTTCACAAAACAGACTTGTCTCTCTGCTAACCTTGCCCCTTTCCCTACTGCTAATAGTATATGAGCTAGTGTATCTCTTAATAGATTTGTGTAGCGTAAGGTATAACTTTTGCAATAACTCTCATCTAATTATTGATTTTCACTTCTTTATTTCTTACACTATGTCTTGCCGCTCAACCCCTCAGTTTTCAGGACCCTTACTCATGCCTGTTCAGATCAGTTCTGAACGACTCTGGTTCACACTACATTATATTAAGCTGACTTCATCATTCAATTTTGGCTTTATTGAGATATCATTGACAAAAGGTATATATTCAGGGTAAAAGTGTTTAAACTTTTTATATACATCTTCATATGCACATGTGTTTACAATGAAAAAAGAGGTCCTGAATTTGAAGGAGGGTAGAGAAGGATCTATGTAAATGTCTGGAGGGAAGAAGTGGAAGAGAAAAATGCTGTAACTAAAGTAGAATCTCAAAAATATAAATTAAAGAAAAACACAAAAAATGAAACTTTCTTCATTCCTTTTTTCTTCCTCATTTTAAGCATTGATCACTGACAAAGCATTTGCCTTACTTATAAAACAAAGGAACAACCAAATCACATCTCCAAATTTCTCAGAATTTCCTAGAGATTGGTGGTTATATTTTGTTCCCCAAAATATTGTGCACACTAGTAAACTTATCTGGGGTCAGAGAAGAGAACAGCCACAATATTAAACATAGAGGATAGGCAATGGTAGCACACACCTTTAATCCTAGCATTCCAGAGACAGAAATCCCTCTGGATCTCTGTGAGTTCAAGGCCGCATTGGAAATAGCCAGGCATGGTGACTTTATCCCAGAAAGTGAGCCTTTAATCCCAGAGAGTGATGGCAGAAAGCAGAAAGATATATAAGGCGTGAGGACCAGAAACTGGAAGCATTTGGCTGGTTAAGCTTTTAGGCTTTGAGCAGCAGTTCACCTGAGATTCATTCTGGATGACGCAGAGTGTGATCTCCCAGGATTGGTAGAGGCCAGAGTATGATCTCAGGTTGGACTTTTCTGCCTGGAAGGTGGGAGGTTCACATGTCCTTGTCTTGGGGTCACAATGCACAGCTGGGCATAGGTCACATCATGTGGCTCCTCTGTTGTAGCAGCCTGCAGTGGGAAAGTGTAGAAGAAAGTCCAGGTTGGGCACTGGGAGCATGGGGAACTAGAGAAGTCAGGACCCACCTGCTCATCTATGACTTGATTTCCTTTTGACGGTGTGTCATTGGAGGCCAATAATTCCTTTGGATTGAGAGAAGAATAGGTGATCTCTGTCCTTCTGAGTCTCGAGGGCTTCACCTGGGCATACAAATCTTTAGAGGGGTCTTCCTCATGTTGGCTCTGCAGCAGAGAGAGACAATGATACAAAGGGAATTGATGTGGTGTCTCGGAGGCTCTCAACACATACTTCCACAGGGAGCAAGAATGATACTTCAGACATTTTTATTAAAGTAAACTATTGCTGAAGGGGTCTTCTGAAACTTTCTAGGAATATAAGGGTGCATACCAGTTACTTCTCTGTGCTTCTGAAATATTATCCTTAAATATTTATGTCCTCTCCAGTGCTTCTATCTTCTGAAAAGAGAATGTCCCTACCCTGAGGACACTTGGATCTACCATGCTCCATACCTAGATGTGGAACTTAATCACAGGTGTGTATGAAACTCTACTCAGGCTTCTCCACAGAAGGCATCTTTCAAGTTCCTTTAAAATTCAAACTGATCATCTCTGCCTCGCATAACTCAACCCATATCCTCCAATATATTTCCCTCATACACTTTGCACTGCTCAGTCTCAGTATATTTCCATATAATTTCCCATCTGAGCTGGTCACAGTGGGTAGAGAGTTCTCTCCTTGGCTATATCTGCAGCCCTTACAGAAGCATGGTCAAGAGGGAGACACGGGAGCTGGGGAGAGGAGTCAAGGAGCAGAGTGGTTGCTATGCAAAAATGAGCACCTGAGTGTGATCCGTGTGGCTGCATAAAAACGGCCAAGCAGTATTTCACATGCCTGGGACCTAAGTGATGATGAGGGAGCAACTGGTGCCCAGTGCTCAGTGGCACCAATCCATCCAAATAAATAGCACCATGGACATTAAGAGAGTCTGACAGAGAAAATGAGTTAGAGAAAAATAGATGAAGACATCACATCAGATGTTGACCCCTGTCTTCTGCTTGTGCTTAAACTCATGTGCACACACATTGTCAGGCACATGGATCTCACTTACTTGTGTTTCATGTTCATTTACTTGTTAGCTTTATCACTAGAGTTTGACACAAGGCCTTTACATCTAAAGTAATCACTTTACCATTCAACTACAACTTATGACCCTCTTTTTCTCTTTAGAGCATCTAAAATCACTTTAGAAACCAGAGAGATGTTGAGGAGTCAGAAAATTGGGGCCATATTGTCAAAAGTAAACAAAGAAAGAATGAGGTCAAAACACACAGAATATAGAAGCAAAGAGCCAGCTGTGGGTGATACTAGGGGCTGAAGAGGGGAAGAACAGAGATTGCTGTGGCATTATATTGGGTCATAAGTTGTTAGCATTGTGGATAAGCAATAGTCTCACCAGGACATCCAGCTCCATGCTATCTGCAGGCTGTGTGACCTTCACAGTAGCATCTGTCATAACAAACATGCAAGTTTTCCCCTGACCAGATTCCCAGGACATCTCACATCCCCAGACCCCTGCGATATCCCACACATGGAAGGAGAAGATGTAGGGAGTGAGGGTACACAGAGAGGGTCCAGTGTCCCAGGCCCTCCTCCACCCCTGTGATGCTGAGATCTCAGACATCTCCCTCCTCCCGGGTCCTCTTCCTCTCACACAAGATTTCTTCCTGGATGGCAGGAGCTGGTGTGGATCTGTGGAAAGAAGAGGGTGTCAACTGACAGCGATGGAATCAGGCAGGTGAGGTCAATATTTCTGGGCATGAGTTACCTCATCTGGAAGCTTTTGCCCTTGTTCGATGAGTCTGCAGGATGTTGCAAGACAGTCTTTGTCTGGACTGCAAGGGAGGAAGGAGCCTCAGCCAGGAGGGTTGAGCACCCTACCTAGCACTTTCAGAAAAAGAAGGGACAAATTCATTGCATGTCGGTTAAAATCCTCCCAGTCGATGGAAAAGTCCATACAATAGAGGACATTGCACACATTTCCAGATCTCATTTTATGTTGAGATTCTACAGAAGTGTTTCTAAGCTAATGTATCCCAATCTGGGCTTTCCCTGGGGCTGATGCCCTGGGCCTCTGCTTAGATAGCCCACAGTGGGACCCACTCCACACTGAGACCCAGGCCTCCCACACCCTACTCACCCCCCTTCCTGTAATTCTTCTGATGCCTGAGTCTGAGGATAAGGAAGAGGATGAGGAGGAAGAGCAGGAGGAAGAAGGCCACAGAGACACCAATCACAGCCTTTTGGTATCCTTCCAGTTCTATGAGACAGGGGACATCATGAAGGAAGAACTGTAAATTAGAACATACGGTGTGTGATTGAAGAGGCTATCACAGAGCCTTCATGGGTCTGGACTAGGTCCTCTGCACATATGTTACGGTTCTTAGTTTGGTGTTTTGTGGGAGACTTCTGAGAGTGGTGGTGTGGGTGCATCTGACACTTTTGCCTCCTCTTGAGACTCTATTCTTCTGACTATTCTCCATCACCTGACTTGAGGCAAGGGTTTCTGCCGAATATTATGGTATCATGTTGTGCCATGTTCAGTTAATGCCCCTAAGTGGTCTTCTCTTCCTGGAGGAGATGGGACAGGAGTAA